CATTCTAGGCTCAATTCAGTACGTTATGCCAAATTTCGTGCAAATCGAAAGATATATAGGGACTTTGGGGCACCATTTACATGAAATCGGACGAAACTATATATGGGAGCTATATCTAAATCTAGACCGATTTTCACAAAACTTGGCAGACGTCATTCTAGGCTCAATTCAGTACGTTATGCCAAATTTCGTGCAAATCGAAAGATATATAGGGACTTTGGGGCACAATTTACATGAAATCGGACGCAACTATATATGGGAGCTATATCTAAATCTAGACCGATTTTCACGAAACTTGGCAGACGTCATTCTAGGCTCAATTCAGTACGTTATGCCAAATTTCGTGCAAATCGAAAGATATATATGGACTTTGGGGCACCATTTACATGAAATCGGACGCAACTATATATGGGAGCTATATCTAAATCTGGACCGATTTTCACGAAACTTGCCAGACATCATTCTAGGCTCAATTCAGTACCCTGTGCCAAATTTCGTGCAAATCAAAAGATATATAGGGACTGTGGGCACCATTTACATGAAATCGGACGAAACTATATATGGGAGCTATATCTAAATCTGGACCGATTTTCACGAAACTTGGCAGACATTATTCTAGACCTAAATGATTAGGCTGTACCAAATTTCGTGCAAATCGGAAGATATATAGGAACCGTTTACATTAAATCGGTTAAATATATATATATATATATATATATATGGGAGCTATATCTAAATCTGAACCGATTTTTCCCAATTTCAATAGGGTTCGTCCTTGGGCCGAATAAGTGACCTATGCCAAATTTCATCCAATTCGGATCATAAATGCGACCTGTACTTTGTTTACAATTTAACATGGACAGACAGACAGACGGACGGACATGCATAAATCGACTTAGAAAGTGATTCTATACATATTCTCAAAAGGAACCATGTGTCTATCTCGTTTCCTTTTGCCTGTTACAAACATATGCACCACAGTGTGGTGAAGGGTATAAAAAATTTTGAATCAAATATAAATATTTTATATGTGATTTATTTAGGTTTACTATTTAAAACACGAAATGGATGAACCTGTAAATAAAAGTTTATCTTCTAAGTCCCGCGAACCAATTTTTTGAATACTTATTCAATTGGCGATTTCGTTCTGGTTTCAATAAATTCCATATAAAATTCCACAAAACCATAATTTGATATTGGATAATTTTCGTAGAAGGTAAAAACAATTTTATATGCGTTTTTCGGCAAGGTAACGGGAAGCAGCGAAAAATCCCAATATGCATTTCTGACGTAGATATTACCCTGTATTAAAAATTGTTAAACAATTTAACAATTTAATTACACGTATAATACTTACCGAATATGGACATGAGTGATTGATGTTCGTAAACTGAGTGAACATATTTTTTATAATTTTCCCATAAACGCCCTGCGTATTTTTCGCATACAGCTGACACACATTGATGGTGGTGTTAATCACGAATGGTTTATAGACATTTGCACTGTTACGGGTGTATAATGAAAAGTTCACCTGTTGCAGAAAAAACAATGTAAAAAATTAAGTAAAACCAGTTTAAACCAGTAAGGAAAGTTCAAATATCCTTTAGATAGAATAGACATAGCAACTTTGAAGGGCCATTGAAATGGAATCGGACGAAATTAACTGTGTACATATCAATCTGAAATTTATTAAAAATTGAATGGACCTAATTCAGTACGCTGTGCAAAATTTTGTGCGAATCGACCTAATTTGACGCTTTGGTGTTTCATTAACATAAAATCAGACGTATATGTATATGGGAGCTATATCTAAATCTGAACCGATTCCAAAATTTTGTGCCAACCAGCCTAAAATTGCCTCTTTGGTGCTCCATGTACATAAAATTGGACGAAACTATATAAGGGATCTCCCTATCTAAATCTGAACCGATTTTCCCAATTTCAATAGGGTTGAATGAGCTGTGCCAAATTTCATAATTTCTACTTACTGATGAATTTCTTAGAATAACTTCAGTCCAAGCTTCCATAAAAATAAGAGTCTTATAACGATTTATCGGCTTCAGGGAACATGAGTGATTGTGTATAAAACTGGGATTTGTTTCACAAACAATTTTATTAGTTTTCAAATAGATTTCACCTAAAATTGTCTGAAATACAAAGGTCTTAAAAAATCGATTTAAATTGTGTTTCTTACTTACTGGAACACAAAACCCAAAAATTAGGATGAAACGTAACATCCTGGTTTAACAAATATTATCGAAAACTCGAAAGTGTCTGCCAAATTATCAAATAGAAGCTAACTTCGATTGTGGCAAATTACTTTCACCAGTATTCTATACAAAATCTTGAAATTGAAATTTAATGCCAGTTTATTTTTATTTTATTATTTTGTGTGAATTCATGTGGAAAATTGTTCTAATAATTGTCGGTACTAATAATTTCAGCACTAATCACAATCATGTATATATATATGTATGTTATGAAAATTAACAAATTATCTACCGCATCTCGGAAACACAACAAATTTGGAAGTTCTGAAATTAAATGAAAATAATCAATTATTACAACATATGAAAAGTATATCGTAATGGCCAAATTTGAAGCAGAAATTGTTGTAAAGAAAAACGTCGGTAAATTCGACCGGGTCAAACTTTTTAAACACTTCACCAAAACGCCAACGCGTTGATTCAAAATACCTAAAAAATAGACCTACTTTAAAAAAATGGACCAATAATAACAATTTTTGGTATGAAGATTTGTCATCCAATGAGAAACTAAAATAAAATTATTTATAGTCAAATCGATGAAATACAGGTCCAAAAAGCTGAATATTTCGTGGTAACGTTATATGTGGTGGTACGATTTGTAGATTTCTTTCATTATTATATTGTCATTATACCCTTCACCACACTGTGGTACAGGGTATTATGTCTTTGTGCATATGTTTGTAACAGACAAAAATAATCGAGATAGGCTCAGGGTTCCTTTTGAGAATATGCATGTAATCACTTTCTGAGCCGATTTATTCATGTCCGTCTGTTGATGTTAAATTGTAACCAAAGTACAGGTCGCATTTATAATCGGAATCGGATGAAATTTGGCACAGCTCATTCATTTGGCCCAAGGACGAACCCTATTGAATTTGGAAAAATCGGTTAAGATTTAGATATAGCTCCCATATATATTTTCGTCCGATTTAAGATAATTGGTGCACCAAACTACCTATATACCTTTCGATTTGCAAGCATTTTTGGTTAGCCTACTGAATTAAGTATAGAATGATGTGTGCTAAGTTTCGTGAAGATCGGTACAGATTTAGATATAGCCCCCATATATAGTTTCGCCCGATTTCAGGTAAATGGTACACCAAAGTCCCTGAAAATCGTAGGTTTGCACGAATTTTGGCATAGCTTACTGAATAATGTCTAGAATGACTTAAGCTGAGTTTCTCGAAAATCGGTTCAGATTTAGATATAGATCCCATATATATTTTCGTCCGATTTAAGGTAAATGGTCCACGAAAGGTAAATGGTCGATTTGCGCGAAATTTGGCACAGCGTACTGAATTAAACCTAGAATGATATGTACTAAGTTTCGTGAAAATCGGTTCAGATTTAGATATAGCTCTTATATATATTTTCGTCCGATTTTATGTAAATGGTGCACTAAAGTCCATATATTTAATGCGATTTGCACGAATTTTGGTATAGCCTACTGAATTAAGTCTATAATGACATGTGCTAAGTTTTGTTCAGATTTATACATAGCTCCCATATATATTTTCGTCCGATTTTAAGTAAATGTTGCACTAAAGATCCATTGCTAGGCCTATTGACAAAACATACTGAAGTTAATAAATCGGTTCAGATATAGATATAGTATACCAAGTAATCAATGCATGTCTGATTGAGATTACATTTTATACCGATGAGCATACCAAATAGCGTGTGTCAAGTTTACTTTAAATCGATTTACAAAATTTAGCATAGGTTGCAGAATGACATGTGTACGGATTGATGTTAGTCGGTTTAGATTTAGGTAAAGATCACATATTTAAGTTCGTTCAATTTCATATCAATGTTACTTCAAAAAGGCGACGTCTATTAGGATACATATGCAGAATATGCCCAAAGTGGTGAAGGGTATTTTATAGTCGGCCCAGTCCGACTTTACCACTTTCCTTACTGTTGTCCATGGTTCCACAAGTTAAAGTCAACCCATACCATGGCGATTCCTCAAGGGTTCTTCAGTGAATTAATTTTCATTAGCAATCATCAGCTTATCATCGGATTTAAAAGATTGAACTTGGATTCTTCGAACACGATTACATGTTTCCAGTCGACCACGGTTTAACTTTTGGGCTCGTTGAAAATTTTCTACCTTGACTTTGCCGTTTTTTTTTTTTTGCCGGGAGAAATAAACATCTTACAGGGGGCTCCCCCCTCTTTATAATGTACTTATAGTGATGTGCGGTGTCACATAGACGGCACCGACCGACTTTTGCCCTTTCCTTTCTGATTTTACATTTAAGTCTGTTATTATATCTTTATAGTTTTTCTCTGTATTTAAAAACCTATTGTCGATCAAAATCATTTAAAGAAAACAAATTTTTCATTTTTTTCATTTTAATTTATTGACTTAAATCTTATATATGTTTGTACATAAGATTATACATTTTTTCTTTAGACTTATAAAAATGTAATTTTTAGATTAAAAGGTAACAGGAAATCAAATGTGAAGACTATGTGAAGCGAGAGTTAATGGACAATTTTCTTTAATTATATAAAAAATAAAATTTAAATGATTTAATTTTTTATACATGCATATGGAAATATGTACACATGTACTACACATACATACAAACGTATGTAGAATTAATTATCTAACAAATAATAACATCAGTCATTCAATCAATCATTGAATACATATTACGCACATTAATTCCTTCTTATAGTCCCCACAAATACGAACACAACAATTAATGCAATTAAACTATTCACATGCAACGATTTTCCTGCATTCCTGACATTACTATAACTATCGATAATATTGATTTTCCAACCCATATTGGCGTGAGTAAAACTATTGTAATACACTACATCCGGCCATGTTATATTCGGAGTAATTTCCAAATAGGCTGGCTCCTCGGGTGGACAATCGGTGATAAGAGAACGATTGAATTTCTTAAAACTTGGGAAATTATCATCCAAACGACGATCATAACCGGGTGGATAGCGAGATATGCAAAGAGGACCGGCAGCTGTGGGTTTGGGTCGACCACGTCGTGTAAATTCGACACCAGCCAAGACACGAATTTCACTCTGTTTAGCATCGCTGAGACGATCATAGCCACCACGTGGTTCATCGGTTATTACCAGCGGATGATAGTTGTCCGGCGAATGAGGATTATTGCCACCACGAACCTGTAGGTAGAAGAATTTATAATTAGTTTTGAAAATTTGTTATTCCAAATTTATTGCAGTTCGGTTCTTACCTTGAAAACATAGGTGAGACCACGTTTCATAAATAGCTCAGGGATCATATAACCATTTATGTACCAAGCCAGGCCACTGGAAACGTGTCCTAAAATAAATAAATGCAAAAATTATTGTAAAAAATCACTATGGAAAGGACACAAGTTAGACGGGATGACTATATTATACCCTAAATTATATTGGATATGTACAAAAGATCTTCCCAAAATGCTTATTGACGATTTTCATAATACCAAAATTCTTATTGGCTTTATGAAAATCGGACAAAATTATATATGAGAGCTTTACTCTTTTGTTAATGTGGAGTAGAAGTTAATGCGTGTGAAATTTCATCCTAAGCAAACAAATGTTAGGTACAATTTGCATGAAGACGGATATTTATTGAATGGGTACTCAATGAAACTTTGTACATGGTATTTTAGGCTAAATTTGGTACGGTGTATAAAATTTTGTACACCGTAAACATTGGGACTTTTGTGAACTATTATGAAGCTATATCTGAATCTGAAACAATGACTTGTGCCAAATTTTACATATTCGGATCATAAATTCTAACTGTATTGCTGGGTTTTGGAAATTTGTACAAAAAAGGTACAAAATACTTTTCATAAATGTGGTACCATTACTATTTGGTGACCCAGTAGAGGTAGAACTCTTACATTTGAAATGAGGGGTATTGGTGGAGTATAGGATAGATGTACCAACGTGTTTTTTAGAAACTAAAAATTTACTAAAAAAATTTACTACTAAAATTTACTAAATTTGGTACAATTTCATAGCATGTGAAGTGGATAGAGTTAAAAACTTGAATATTGGAAAGCGAATTAAAGTTGAGAAAGTACTAAACTACTGAAGTACTAACCTGTACTAAATTTGGTACAATTTGAATTTCGAGGTGACGATAGAGCTAGAAATCTTAAATTTGAAATGTGCGTTATTGATGGAGTGTAGGATAGATGTACCAAAGGGTTTTTTTTAGAAATTCGAACTATAAGTATCCGAAAAGTATTAAACTGTACTATTTTTTGTACAATTTGAATTTCGAGGTACCGATAGAGCTAGAACTCTTAAATTTGAAATGAGGGTTATTGATGGAATGTAGTATAGATGTACCTTAGGGGTTTTTTTTAGAAATTCGAACTATGAATATCCGAAAAGTACTAAAATGTACAAAATTTGGTACAATTTATAAGCATGTGAATGGATAGAGCTAAAAACTTGAAAATTGGAATGCGAGTTAAGGTTGAGAAGTAGTGTCGATATAAAGAGGTGGTTTTTAAAGCGTATACTTGTCTATATAGAAAGTACTAAACTGTACTAAATTTTGTACAATTTGAATTTCGAGGATAGAGATAAAACTCTTAAATTTGAAATATGGGTTATTGATAGAGTACCGAAAGGTACTAAAATGTACAAAATTTGGTATGTGAATGGATAGAGCTAAAAACTTGAAAATTGGAAGGCGAGTTAAGGTTGAGAAGTAGAGTCGATATAAAGAGGTGGTTTTGAAAGCGTATACTCGTCTATATAGAAAGTACTAAACTGTACTAAATTTGGTTCAATTTGAATTTTGGGAAACGGATGGTGCTGGGATTCTGAAATTTGAAAATAACATTACCGTCAGAGTTTAGTGACATGTTGAGAGTTTTAGAAATGTATACTTATGAGTTGGAGAAGTACTAAATGGTACTATATTTGGTACTATTGGATTTTGTTGGAGTGGATAGAGCTGGAATCCTGAATTTTGGATTTAAGATCGTTGTTGGTTGTTACAAATAGGAAGTTTTGGAAATTTGTACTAATGTGTACTAAACTGTACCGAATGTGGATTTGGGTGAACCTATAGTGCTTGAATACTGTAATTCGGAAATAAAATTACTGTTTGAGTTTTGGGATGGGGTATGGATGAAGTTTTGGAAATTCTAACATATCAGTACAAAATTGTACTAAATTTGGTACATTTTGAATTTTGGGTGAAGCGATAGAGATGGGATCCTACAATTTGATGTTAGGATGATTGTTGGGTGTAAGATTGGGTCTGGGTGTAAATTGCTGTGTGGGATGTGAATATGTAGAATGTTTTGGAAATTTGTACTAATGTGTACAAAATGTGGATTTGTGTAAACCGATAGAGCTGGGATCCTGAAATTTCGATTTAGGATCATTGATGGGGTGTAGGATTGGGGCACGCAGGAAGTTTCGGAAATTCGTACTATTTGATACCAAATGTGAATTTTGGTGAACCGATGTAGCTGGGATCATAAATTTCGATTTAGGATTATTGATGGGGTGTTTGCTTTGGAAATTCGTACCAATATGTACTAAATTTGGTACAATTAAATTTTTGGTAAATCGATAGAACTGTTATTCTGAAATTTGGAGTTGGAATGTTGGACTTTTGGTGAAGATATTAAGGAAGCTTTGGAAATTCGTACTAATGTGTACTAAATGGTACCAAATGTGGATTTGGGTAAACCGATAGAGCTGGAATCCTGAAATTTCGATTTAGGATCATTGATGGGGTGTATGGTAGAAAATTTTTGAAATTCGTACTAATCTGTACTAAATTTGTTACAATTATATTTAGGTGAAGAGATAGGGCAGGAATCCTGAAATTGGGAAATATGATTTCTGTTGGTTTTATATTAATGTGTACTAAATGGTACTAAATTTGGTTAAACCTATAGAGCGAATCATACAATTTGGACTTAATTTAGGAAATAAGATTTGTGTTGCGGATTTTTGAAACACGAACTATGAGATATCAAAGGAACTAAATGGTACTAAAATTTTAATTATGGTCAATATTGGTATGTATGTTGATTAGCTCTTCTGACATATGTAGTTCTATGTGAAAAACAAAATAAAATATATTTATCGGCTAAAATGTCACTAAATTTTGTACAATTTTAATTTTGTGTGAACCTGCTGAGACCTTAAAAATACCGATAGTTTAAATGGGAACTTATGGACTTGTATCAAAAATTTTGAAAATGAAAATATGATTTCATACATGAAAAGAACTATATTTTGCAAACGTGTTTATACCCTACGTGAACCCATGCCTAAAACCTTAAACATACTGAAAATATAGCGGCACTATTTGAAGTTAAGACCTTAAAAATATCGATAATGGGACGGGTCTTTTATATGGGGGCTATGTCGATACATAAACTATTGCCAATAGTGTACGAAAGGTACTATATATGGTACAATACTTATGGTATCACATTTGGAGATGAGGGAAGATTTTATTTTTGAATATAAATATGGTATAGGGGGACCCTTGGTATGTAGGGTTAAAGTTAGTTAGTAAATTCTTACAATTCTTATTAAATTCTGACGAGGCTCAACTCACTAGCACCAAAAATCATTATGCCACAATTTAAAAATTGAACTTTGACGACCTATTGTCTTTCGCGGTTCATATTATACTCCCATAATTCCAATTTTTACAACCCCAAAGAGTCGGTACATGGAAAACTTACCCGTCCATCCCTGGTATGCTTTTTGGCCACCCGATGGACCCAAATAGGCATTGAATGTACGAACAGTTCTAGAAAAGAAAAGCAAAATATAAATATAATTTTTACAAAAAATATTCTCATTTACTTACGGATCCAAAATTTTAACCCTTTCCCATGTCTGGATGGGATTATCAACATGTTTGGTAAAACTGAAACAATCATTAACCGGCTCCGTGGTATTAAAATCAATTAGAACATCACTTTTCGGATAATAGGTATGGAAGGCCGGTTCATAATTTGTGTCCAATTGACCCAAGGCCCAAATAACATAATTGCTGCGATCCAAACGGATCTCTTTGTCACCGGGATCAGCTGAGGAAACAAATCATTTATTTAGTTTTTTAATTGAGAAATCAAAACTTCCAACTTACACGATATTAGAGTTCTTCTAAAGGTAATGGTATTAATACCATCCTTACGGCTGTAGGTATTCAATTGAAAACTATCCAACCCACCGACAACATCATCACGACAGACACCTTTGTTCTGACCCAATACCTGGACACAGGGCGCCAGTGATGTGATATTATAATCCACAGAATAACCACGAATATCATCGATATAGGCCACCACGACATCACCACCAATCATCTGTGACGATGTATCCGAGCCCGATAAACCAAATGACATGTAATCATCTTTTTCCACTTGGCCAGATAATTGGAAGGTTATCTGAGGCCCAAAGACTTCCCATGAAACTTGTAAATTTTTATGCAGTTGGCGACAATTGGGTAGGGCAAATTCATAGGGTGTAATTTTCACCAAAGACGGAGGAACATTTAAATTATCGGCAATCAAGACATGGCCATAATTTTCATTATCTGCCAAATCGTAGATACTAATCCAATCAATGTCGAAAATGGTCTTATCTCCGGGCAGTTCTAGGGTTATGGTCTCCTTTTTGTATTCACGAATGGGGTCCAAACTGCAATGAAGAAATGATTATTTTTCTGTTTTTTTTAATTGCTATATAAAAACTTACTATCCCATTTCATCGGGTATTTTACCACCCCGACTGGATGGCTGTGCTCCGACCCCAGTCCAGAAGAAAGTTCTCTTGCCCTTGCCATCATAGGTGAAATCCGGTATACGTATTGTCTTGGAATCTAAGATTTCAATAGCACCACTACTAACATTATGACTACGTTTGGAGAAAGTACCTCCTATCTGGGGCTGTGGTGGTTCAAATTCATCAGGAATATAAACATCACCGAAATTATTTTGATTATTCAAATCATAAACAGCCAACCATTTGACTTCGGTAATTTTCTTACGATCCGGTAACTGCAACGTGAAGTCTTTATTGTGATAACGATCGAGGATATTTGTTCTGCAACAAAAAAAATTAATAAATGTTAAATATGTAATAAAAATCTCATACTTACTTTCCATATTCATCGGGCACAATAAAACCTTGTGGTCCCGGCCTATTTGAGGTACCCGCCCAGAAAAATGTATCAGCACCATTGCCATCATAGTTGAAACCCACAAACAGGAAGGTAAACTCATTCACAGCATAGACATCACCGGATACCTGATTTTGAAAATTTGAAATTTTGATTTTTTAAAAAAATTAAAAAAAGTTTACCTGGTGATGATAAGAATTTATTTTGCCTAAATATTTGCCCTGATAGGGCCCGTCTTCATCATCTAAGCCACCAGCTGCTTCTGTAAATAAAATAGACAAAAACTCGAATAAATAAACCATCAAGTAAAGCGTTCAGTTCGGGCGGGTCGAACTTTTTATACCCTCCACCATAGTAGGGAGGGTATATTAATTTTGTAATTCCGTATATTCCGTGTAAGTATATATATTCTTGATCAGGGTAAAATTCTAAGACGATCTAGCCATGTCCGTCCGTCTGTTGTATTCACGCTATCTTCCGAAGAAATTGAGATAAGGTGCTGAAATTTTGCATAGGGTTGTCTTTTGTCAAGTCAAGTTTAAGTTCGAAGATGTGATATATCGGTCCAAGTTTAGGCATATCTCCCTTATAAGACTACCCCCCAATTTTCGGTATTTTGGGGTTTTCAAGCGAATTCGCTGAAATTTGGTACATTGGGTTCTTATTGGGTACTAAATGTCTTCACAAAAAATTATAAATATAGGTAGCCCCCATATAACTTTAATTTTCAGTATTTTGGGGGTTTTGATCGTATTTTTCACCGAATTGGCTGTAGTTTTGTATTTTGAGTTCTTAGAAAAAATTATAAATATAGGTCCACTTTTTCTGGTAGCCCCCATATAACGGTACCTCCTAATTTTCAGTATTTTGGGGGTTTTGATCGTATTTTTCACCGAATTGGCTGTAGTTTTGTATTTTGAGTTCTCAGAAAAAATTATAAATATAGGTCCTTTTTTCGGATAGCCCCCATATAAGGTACCATAAATGGGACCAATGTTTAGAACCATAATCGGTGTGTAGAAATGTCGGTATAGGTACACTGTTTGGTGTGTTCCCTATATTTTTATTTCAAGTACCTGTCAGTGTATCTATGGTGGAGGGCATCCAAAGTTCGGCCCGGCCAATTCCCCAAAATCGATCGGGACCTTTAGATGGGGAATATGCCATGGTAAATTTTCTACCAGTAGATTGTTTATGAGAAAATTCAGCGGGACCTTTGTAAGAGAACCATGTAAAAACTTGGGCTTATATTCAACAAGTAAAAATGGTGCTAACTTAGGCCGGAGCGAAATGCTTGTACCCTCCACCATGGCTATTCAAAATACCTAAAATCGATCGAAACATTTAGAAGGGAATTATGCCATGGTGAATTGCTCTCAGAAGAAAAGGAAATACTAAACAAAAAACCCTCAGGTTGGAAAATTGTGCTGCAATCTTGAACATACCGATATTGGCGAGTGAACATTTGGCGAAAGGAATGTCCGATTTAAACCAAACTTTGCACAACTAATCCTATTTACCAAGCCTAGATCAAGTCCGACCTATCGGCTCTCTCCTTTTGGTACCTCCCCCGCAAATGTTCAATATTTTATAAATTTAATTTTATCAGCATTAAAACCGAATACTCTTTCATAAAAACTTATACATTATATGGAGAATAATAAAATCTGAGGGTATATATGTGTCGAAAACATAGACTGAAACTTTTTTACTTGTGTGTAAGAAGATTTGCCAGCCTATTCAAAATATATTTGAGCCAACTCGGCTGTAATCCATATCGGAAATCTTCAAAATATGGTCCGATATTGGTAAATTTCAGTAAGACGTGGTTGCCACCCAACGAGAACCCAAACGTGCCGAAAACCTCAAAAAAGTCCAATAATGTGGTGTGTATGAGAGTTATACCAAAAGTCGACGGATATTGATAATTTTTCGTTATTAACTTCTTAGAACAAAAAAAATTAAATTATTTTGTTGAGAACGTGCTCTAAATTTCCGAATAGTGAAGGGTGACGTTATATGGCGTCTATAATGGAACTTGGGACAATATGGGAGCTATATCTAAATATGAAATAATTTCAATAAAACATGGTACACGTTATGCTATTCTAACTTCAGTACGTTGTGTAAAATTGTGTGCCAATTTGACTCTTTGGTGCACTATTTGCTAAAAATCGAACAAAAATATATATAGAGCTATAATTAAATCTAAACCGATTTCAATAAAACTTGGCACACGTTCTAACTTCAGTACGTTGTGCAAAATTTCCCGCCAATCGGCCTAAATTTGACATTTTGGTGCACAATTTGTTAAAAATCGGACGAAAATATATATGAGGGATATATGTAAATCTGAACCCATTTTCACCTATTCCATTAGGGTTCATCCTTGGGGCAAATAAATGCTCTGTGCCATATTTTATTTCATTCGGATAATAAATGCGACCTGCACTTTGTTTACAATTTAACATGGACAGACAGACGGACGGACGGAAATGCATAAATCGACTCAGAAAGTGATTCTATGCATATTCCCAAAAGGAACCATGGGTCTATCTCGATTTCTTTTGCCTGTTACAAACATATGCACAAAGACATAATACCCTGTACCACAGTATGATAAAGGTAAACAAATTTGTCGGGATTTCAATTTGGGGAAATATGTGAAAGCATGACACTATTTTCAAAATCGTCTGCCAAAATGGACCAATATACCCCTAAATGTTATCAAGTTAGTAAAACGGGAAGTCTGAAGGTTAGTATTAGAGTCACAATTTGAGTACTGCATTTTTTCATTATCTCTAAAACGAAAGACTTAAGAAACAAGCGGCATACAATACAATGCAAATTAGACAAAGTGCAAAATTTCGTTGTGTTCGGGGCATAATTATCGTCTCTATAGTGACCAGAAAAGCAGACAAATATAACGTTTTTGGTCTATTTCATCCCCTAAAAATTAACCGATCACCCGTCCTACATGCACAATTTCGTGGCGATTGGTCCATAACTGTGACTTTACAAATTATAAAGGACAGACAAATATGTCTAGATCGACTCAGCTAGTTGAGATATGACTATAGGTATACTAGATGCTTTTCGCAGCGTTACAAACTCTTGGGGCCACATAAAGTTAAATGCATAGTTGTGTAGGCTATAAATATTGAAACATGGAAACATGGCTTTTAAACGATCCAGTCGGATCTTCTGCCTATGAAAATAATTTTTTGTTTTTGATGTGCGGAATAAAACTAGTGCTAAGGCGCTGGTCTGAGCCGAAGTGTGAGAACTCGCATTGCCATGATGCATATGGTTCATCTTCCCATGTTCGTTTATGGAATTTCTCCGAAAACTGTGGGCAATCAAATTGTTATGAGTCAATCATAATTGATCTCCTTTGTTGCTGAATAAATTGAAGACAATTTGTTTCGATGTGCTTCATCGTTGGATTTGGTTCGTCTTTGAAGTGTCACAAGGTCTATTTCTGTTATACGTGTTTATAAGATCGTATTTTTTCGAAAAAATTTTGCTCCAATTGACACGAACCTTTTTCTGAGCGATTGCCATATTGTTCGGTATCCAAGTAGAACAAACGTTTTTCACAAATGTTTATGCAATATTAAATATATGCTGGTGGAAGATATGCGCAAGGAAGGATCTTCCCATCTCTTCGATGAAGTCTCCCTGCAGCAGACTGTAAAGACCCCCTTTGGCTCATTTATCAAGACTCCCTTCGTCTTTTCTATACATAAAGACTTCAGCTTGCCTATAAAGACTCACTTCAGCTCATCTATGAAGCTAAAAAGAATTCCTCCTTCAGCTCTTCTATAAAGACTCCCTTTTGGTCGTCTATAAATACTGCCTTCAATGTCTATAAAGTCTACCTTCAAGTCGTCTTTAAAGCCACCCACAACATCTCTTCTATAAAGACTTCATTCAGCACATATATAAAGACCATAAAGATTCACTTCAACTCGTCTGTAAAGACTCCTCGCTTCTGCTTTACTATAAAGACTCCTTTCAGCTCGTCTTAAAGTCTTTCGATGCACTCTAACGTATACCCTCCTTACTTTCATTTTGTTATTGTTTTTTTCTTTTCATTTCAGATGTTACGAAAAATTGTGTGTATGATCATTACCACCATTCCACCTATTAACCAATTGTGTGATTGATCTTGACTTCATTTTTGCACAGAGCTCACATCATTTTCACCATCATCAGTTGATGATGAATACAACGCAGATAAATGAAATTTGCAAAATCATTCCCTTTTCAATGACCTTCGCTTGAAAATAACAAAATATTCATCATACCAAATGAACACCCACTATTTAAGTACAAAATTATTTGTCGACGAGGCATAACAAAATAACAACAACAGAAACAGCGACAACAACAACAATGGGCCTAATTAAAGACAAAGAAATCATTTTACAAGACATTACACGTAACCATATTTCCTTCGAAAACAATACACACAACGCAGAGTGAGAAGAATGAGTGAGGGAATGTATGAATGAATGGTGTGGTGTGGTATGGTAGGTGGGTATAAGTACCACTAACACCATCACGATCCAACATTATCACACAGCCACAACAAAAAACAAGAAAATAACATTCGTAAAAATTAAATTGCAATTATTTTGTATTTCTAAAACTAAAACGAACAACAAACAACAATGCTATTAATCGACTTTACGAAATCAATATTGATATACACGATCATAATAATACCATTCTATGTCAGATTTTTGTTGTTCGTTTAGATTTGTACAACAATTTGATATACTTCAACAAGCACACATACATACATATAATTATAAAACATGTTTTGCTTTAAGGTATTTTCTGAAAAAATATATTTCTTAGCTTGGTAACAATTGTGAGACAATTAATCGGTCCTCCACCCAACAATCCACAATGGTGTATTAGGGTAATTCGTGTAAAAGAAATCCTGGTTTTCACTTACCACATTGTGAATTAGGGTAATTTGAATAAAAATCAAAGTCTCACGATTGTTTACGATCCCGATCACGAGTTATTTTCTCCCAGATAATGTGGGTGTGCAGAATTTAGTTACCTACTATAATTGATCCAAAGTACGATCGCAATGGAACTTCTTCTGTTGAATTATATATGGGGGCTATATCACAATTTCAACCGAATCGATTTAAAATTGAGCCTCAATATCCTAAACTCTACGTGATTGTCTATCTAAATATTTATAAAAATTGAACAAAATGTATATCTTTGGTGCAAAATGTA